GAGCAGCTATTGCCAACGCGAGTATACACGAGTCAGAAGACCCACACAAGCGGAGAAGGCGAGATGAGGTGCAGATTATGCGGCAAGGCTCCAGAGTGTGGCACATATCTTGTCAGGATGCAGTGCACTGGCCCAGAGCAAGTATCTCTCTAGACACGACGCAGCACTGAAGGTACTGTTTTACCAACTGTTGTATGATGAGGGATTTATAGACGAGATACCACCCTGGTACTCACCCGACAAGCCGAAGCCCGTGTACGAGTCAGAGAATGTTAAAGCTTATCGGGTTGTCCCTATATATGCTGATCAACAAGAGGTCAGATGCAATAGGGTGGATGCACGCATTGTAAATCATATGTGCAAGAGAGTTGTGACGCTGGAAATGAGCTGCCCGTGGGTTAACAATCGGACAAGAAAGGATGAAGAAAAGACACTGAAGTACGGACCCCTTCGCTGGGAACTAAGGCAGCAGTTCCCAGGCTACGAGGTGAAGCAATATAACATCATTATGGATGCCCTCGGGGGGTGGTCACGGGAGCTGGATGTCATGATGTGCGAGCTGGTGTGAGACAGAAGCACAGACGTACTGCAAAAGATGCAGAGGGCAGTGCTCTCGGGCACGCTGAATATTGCCCGGAATTTCAAGGTGGCAGTTTGACTTTCTGTTAGAAGGAGGACCGTAGACACAACGGAAAAGCTTTTTAGGATTAGTTAATGTACATTCATTTTTTTACTCCATGGCTCACAGGTTACGGTTTTCGCCCTGTGGTGCCTGATTAGAATGTAGCATTCAGTTGACTTCTCTGAGAAATAATAACAACAACAACTAGTACAGGGAAGATACAGGAGACGGGACCTATGGTTTTTCGTCAAGATGAGAAAGCATCACCTGTTTGTTACAAAAGAAGGAACATGTTTGTTCTTGTTCATAAAATCAGATCAGAGAACAATGAATAGTCAACATCCTTAATCAACTCACCGCATTCATAGGTATAAGGGGTCACACGGAAATCTTGCCAAAGAATGCCATATTAACCCTTACGAACATTACACTCAATGGCAATAAAAGTCGCCCTTTTTTAACTCTTGCCCAAGTGACCGTTCAATATAGGGAAGGACTGTCAAAACTGGAGGGGGGACTCAGTAAAGGGTCACCACAACCGTGATTAAGGGGAAAAAATTTCGGTACTTTGAAAACTGTCCGCTTAATACGGCACCGCTTAAGACAGGTTTGACTGTACTTCGCTCCATTTTACTAACTCAACGCTTGGAAAAGGCTTGTTTTGCTACAGGTTAGTTAAGTGGATAGCCATCCTCGGAGACCCAGGGGCTGAGTCGATTTCAAGTTAGGGCACGAAGAGCCCCTGGGGACATTGTCTTACAAGACTAGTTCCGAACGGTCGCAGTCGTTCTGCCATCTGATTGGTGCCAGAAAAGCTTTGTGTTTTTCTGCCCAATCAGAGTGAAGTCTGCTTTAGAGTCCTTTCGTGTGTTTTAACACGGACATATACTAGTAGCTCAGTTGCTCGCTAA